AGCGGCCTCCAGCGGCGCCGCTCGGGAGCCGCCGGTTCGAGCCCCGCCGCCGCCTCTGCGAGGCCGCTGGTTCGAGTCCCGCCTGAGCACATTCCCGGCTCCAGCGCATTTTATGGGATTTATTTACCGAAGGGTCATCATTTTTTTAAAGCGCGACTTTATTTTTTTATTTTATTTTATTCATTTTTTTAAAGAACTTATTTTGCAGAGGCTTATCAAATTTAATAGTTGGCCGCTCACTTTGGCAAGTATTTATCATTTTGGGCCTGTCCATTCTTAGATCTCTCTCCAGGGCAGAGTCATCATGCGAGGTGGCATAGATATTAAAGTCAAAAAAAAAGTGCCATTTCTTCTCCAAATCTTTGAGTTTTAATTAAAAAAAATCTTATGGTAAATTATTTTCTGACCTCTCCTGATATGCTGATATTTTGATTTGCTGGTTTTTGGTTATTTTTTTTACACCCAGTGGCTCAGGGCACATTTGAGTCTCTTGTTTAAACACCTTTCTTCAGCCACAATGGGCAGCACTTACTATTATTTAATCTAAACCTGCTAGAAATCACATTTGACCTATTAATAGTGGCATTTACAAAAGACTAGTTTTAAGCATATGAGATTCAGCCATCGATCCCCCCCAGATTCACTCCATGACCATCCCTGGCTCCAATTAAAGGCAATCAGAGCCGGCTCTAGACAGAAAAGCAACTCTTAAACCACAAATTATTTTACTAAATCTGGTCAGGGCCAGTAAGTGTAGATGTATAGCCCAGGCAAAGTTATTTAATGTGTTCAGTGCCAACCTGCCTGGGAACAGCCCAAATTGCAGTAATTCAAATGAAGTCAGAAGGCTGTAATACAATGAAGGGCTTTTTTTTTTTTTTTCCTGTTTAGCACCTCTTGTGATACAGACATGCAGTGATGGCTGTGGTTAATTTTGCATCTCTCTTTGGAGTGCTGTTCTTGCAGCATGTGGACTCCTGCCTCCGCTTGGAGGAGGAAAAACTATGGGAAATTACGGAAGGAGGATAAAAACAGCGGCAGAAAGAGCAAGGGCAGTTTCGCTGGTATGCAACGTGCCCGAGCCACCACACCCGGTGCCCGTGCATCCCCCTTTGCCACCTACTCACTCGAAATAAGAGGCAAATTGGATTAATTTCTGGCGTTGCCGGGCTCAGCGGCACTAGGTGGTGCTCAGCTTACACTTGTTCACGTTTCCCTTCCTCCCAGGAGCCAGCTGTGTCACACACAGCGCTTGGCCAGCTCTATTTTTAGGGGATTCAAAGCAAACAATGGAAAAGTTTGGTCCTTGACCTATTCCTTTTAAATACGGCCTTTCTGTGTATTTCTACAGCATGCTGTTTCCAACTACTTCTGCTTAAAAAATTATCTGTGTAGTCTAATTCTAACAGGAAAAGCCCCACGTATGCATGACATTCATTTCTACTCTGCCAATAAATTGGCTCATTAGACAGTCAAATCTGTGAAGTCTAGGCAGAACAAAATACTGTGTCTCAGTATTTCAAAACAAAAAGTGACTCTTGACCTTTAGATGATTTACTACCTTCTGAGGAAAAATAATAAAAAAAAAAACAGTTGAAAGACAATAACAGATTCTACAGTTTTCATCTGGAAAAAGCCAGTGAGGAAAAATACATGACAAAAGCTTCATGCACCTTTACATCTCCACATCCTCAAGCAGGTCATCCCAGCACTAAAGACACTTGCCTGAAGCAGGTCCAAAGGAATTCTTGGGGACAGTGTCAGCCCGTTGATTGTAAAACTGGAGCAGATACTGAACTGTGCAAACATGCGGAGCCTGGCTACCAAACTGGTCATCTCTGAGCTGCCCGTATCCACAAGGGAAGAGAGCAAGGAATCAGCCTTGGACAGGGAAACTATTTCAGAAATAAGGGAAGCAGCTGTAAAGTCAAATAGCAGCAGATTTTATTTTGAGGCAGGTAAAGCTTGCTCCAGCTGGCATGCTAGGAGGAACGGGGCACAATTATAACCCTCCTTTAATTCTTGTTGGCTCAGCAGGTGAAGAGGTCAGGCCAGTGTGACAAACGAGTGGCTCCTGAAGATGCTGGTGGCTTTCAGACCAGTGGCTATTACCCATTCGCGCCCACTACTGTGCTGCAAAGCAAATTCTCTTGCCGGTGAACTCCTGCCAAGCAAGCAGCTCGTTGGCATGTGTGCACAACCCATATTCAACAAAAGAGGTAGATAGCACAGGATAGAAAGAAAATGTGACTATAAACAGCAATTTGGTTCCAAAAAAAAAAAAAAAAAAGGAGAAAAGAAAGTGAGGAAAACTCTGCTGTGGGAAATGCCAGCTGGGCAAATGTACTAACTCAAAAAGACCCCATGTCCTTTAGGTAACCGAGTGCTGCCCCTATGTAAACCTGGGGCTTCCTGACAGCTCTGAGAAGAAAGGTGCTTTTTTGGAGAAAAGGGGCCAAGTGCTGTCTCCGTGTGACCACCGCTCTTGCCAGCAGGGAACCAGGGGTGCCAACCAGCAGGTTCGCTGGTCCTGGGGAAGGTTAAAGATAGTCCTGCACGTCGGCTCCTGGGCTGCTGCCACCAGCCTCCACAGTCCATCCCCAGAAGATCACATCAAAATTCTCCTTGGTTAAGGACAAATTTGCACTGATTCCAAAAGGATACAGATGCTTTCAAACTATTACAGGTCATTTCCATGGATAATTACCTGTAAATAGTAAGATTATTAACATTATTAGTTTAATATCACTATCTGAAAAATTCATCCCAGTATAAGCTCTGATATGGAAGCCCCTCTTAGGATTAATTTCCTTCCATGGCTCAGTACTTAAGCAGATCCTCAGCAATGCATTATATCCTGTTGGCCATTTGCACAGCAGTCGATCATCTCCTATGTTTCAAATCACCTTAAGCTCTGAATTTTAAAACTAATACCCACACAGAATTTGTCATTGACTTTATAGGGACTTATTAGTTCACCAGATTCAAGGCCTTGGAGCAGTTCCCTTTCCTTTTGCCCACAGACAACTTTGCCACTATTTCATTCATTCCATTTCATGTAAACAGAATACTGTAGATTTTCACAGTGTTCATATGTGCAATCTCATTAAAGATTTTTAAGATATATTTTTTTAATAATGTATCTCCTACATGTCATTTTCATAGAAACAAAATTAGCTCAAACAAAGGCAAATTCTTTTTGTCCGCCTGAATTTCTGAAAGTTTGGTGATTCAGTTAATACTGTATTTCAAATGCAGGTGTTTCCACCATCAGTTAATACTGTATTTCAAATGCAGGCGTTTCCAGTTTTCTGATGGCCTAAACAACTACAGTAGGATAGAAAGTCATAGTTATTCTCCAAAAAATATCAAAGTGCCTTTACCCACTCCTTATTCTGGAAAGCCCATCTAAAGCCCAGGAGGTGCAGGACTCCAAAGCCGCCCTTTTGCATTTATCTTGCAGCAAGGTGAAAGTTCCTTCCCCTGAAAATCCCCCTGGATCCCTTGCAGCGGGAAGGGACACGGGGCAGAACACGGAGCTCAAAGGCCCTTTGGAAAGACGGAGAGCAGATGGCACAGATGAAGCACTGTGGAAAGTCGGCTAAAGGTGACATTTGCCTCATTTTCTTTGTGTGTGTTTTTCTTTTTCCCTAGATAAGCAGTGATTAAAACAAAAAGAGGCCCGATTATATATGTTTCCATTGACTTGATTATTAAGGTCTGATAACTGAATGGAAAAAAAAGAGTAGCCAGCTTATAAAATGCAAAATGGAACAATTCTCTTTGAATGTCCTGTTTTTCTGGAGCCGAAGCAGCTTGGCTACAGGAAGAGCAGCGGTGCTTCTCCGAGCTCATGGATTCAGCTCAACCTGGTCCCAACGGCTGCGGGAGCGAGGATCAGATCCCTGACAGAGCAGCCTTCCCAGTGCCTCTCAGACAGGTTTGGCCTTCCTAAGAGCAAGCTGCTTTTTGCGAAAGTAACACACTGATAAAACAGCATTTCAACACCATCAACTAGAGTTTGGAAAGATTATGATAATTCATAGGTTTCCAGTTGGAAAAGTCTCCCTGCTTTACAGGAGGCCTGTGATGGACTAGGAGGGCGGCCAAACACTGTGCTCTGGGTAGGGTTTTATGATGCTGCTCAGTGCAGCTTTGGGGGTGTTTTTAATGAAGAGCCCCTTCCATGCAGGGACCTGGCTGCGGCTGCCTAGGACCAGCCCAAAACAGGCAGCCCCGGTACGAAACTTCTTTGCTGATCTGAAGGTACCTGGGCGCTGCTGCAGGATTCTTGGTCCTCAAGCCCATCAGCACAAACACAAGGGTTGGAACAAGACTAAAAGTCCAGCCCA